AGAGGGAATTATTAGGGACAAGATATTTATTAGAATAAATTTCTGCATAGAAGTATAACTGAAGGGAATATTATGGGAATTATGATGGACAGAATCTTGGAATAAAAAATGTTAAGGAACCAATAAAGTTTACTAGTTCACAATGAATAAATGGTCAAAGGCTATAAATGAACATTTTACAAAAAAGGAAACAAATTTTGTTTTATCACTTGAAAAAATGCCTAACCTTCCTTTTGGGGTATAAACTAAACACTACCTCACACCCTTGAAATTGGCAAAAAGAATTAAAAGCTAAAGAACTCGAGTTGGCTGGATTTTGCAAAACCAGGTACACATTTGTTACTGTTGGAAATATAAAAACTCTGATCCTTTTTTTTTCCTTATGAGGCAATTGGGGTTAAGTGACTTGCCCAGAATCACACAGCTTGTGAGTGTTAGGTATCTGAGGTTGGATTTGAACTCGGGTCCTCCTGACTCCAATGCCGGTGCTCTATCTACTGCACTACCTAGCTGCCCCCAAACTTTGACCTTTCTCTGAGAAAAATCTGGCACTTATCAATAAAAAAATACAGAGATAAATTCTCTCCTTTGAGCCAATAAATTGCAGAAATCAAATCATGTTCACTGGAAAAGAAAATTTTCAACAAATAGTGTTGAGAATAGAATTGGATAAAATTGGGAGTATGTTATATGAAGTATGGTTAAAAAAAACAAACCAAAGAGCTCTCTAAAGATCTTCATGGGGTCTTAACTTATTGATAATTGGCTCAGTAAGTCTTGCTAGATTAATAGGATGGTATAAATGTAATTAAGATTGTTGAGTATAATGCAAAACAATTAAAACAACCAGAGGACAGTATGGTAACTATGAACATGTAAGAGGAATTTAATCAATTTGTTAGCGGTCCAAGAGCCAGGAACCCCGTGCTAATAGTTGTGTGGCCTAGGAGATTCCAGAGTGGTTCTTTTGTTCTCTCCCATACCAAGTGGGGAAAGTTATTTCTTATTTTTTAGTCATACTGTTTAAGGTTTCTTCCTACACATTTAATAGCTCAATTATCTGCCCTTTAGGGAAGATTACTTTGCAAAAAAGAATGAAGAAAGGAAACAAAATAAAGTAGAAGCTAAAGCAAAAGCTAAACAGTAAGTATTGTGGAAGTGAAATTTAAAACTATTTCCACCTACATTTCAAATCGTGTACTACTAACCATAAACATACAGTATGTGGCAGATTACCTGGGAACTTGAGGTGGCCATTAGATGTTTGGAGAGAGAGTTAGTTTTGGTGGGCTCTTTTGTGAAAACTACATCAGGCTCTCAGAGTGAGCTATTTTAAGGTAATGAGTTTTGAGTTTAGACAGCTTAAAATGCTTGCAAGGAGCATGGAAGCTCACAGGATGATTTAGGGAACACAAAATTGCCAGACTTAACTTAACTGAGGTCTTCATAATGGAGAATGAGTTCTAGTTAACTTGGATCATTAACTTTGTGACTTAATGAAGATTACTTTTGTAGGCCTTTGCTTTGCTATTTGTTAGACTAAGTTGTTTGAGACTAAATTATCTTTAAGATTCCTTCCAACTTTAAAATTCATTGATGCTATTATTTTGTAGAGAGCAAGAAGAAAAACAGAGGCAAGCAGAAGATGCTGAATTGGCAAGTACTGAGTTCTTGTGTTTAAGTGTAATAGTCTTTATCATTCAAACATGTAAATAATGAAGCTGGGTTAGTATATCTTCTATGGTTAAAAGTAATCATTTTGATTGTACCATAGTAGTACATATATGAAAGTGAAATATTTCAACAACTTTTAATTCAATATTTGTAAGGCCCAAAGTAGTACTTAGCCAAAGTTTTATTCTCTAAAGAACATGGTTTGATTTAATCAGCTATGTTATTTAGTTCTTTGGTAAACATGATTTGTAGAAGAAAGTAAGACCATGATATGAAGGAGATTTTACAGAGAAAATTTTTAGGATAAAGGGTATAATTGCCAACTTGGTCAACAGCTGTTTTGAACTTCTGTAGGTCAAAACTTGACAGATTCTTTAGAATTTTGAACTCTGATATCTTTTGAGGGAATCTGCAGAGATCTTGAGTATTGTATTATCTTATAACAGACTTTTACTTATTTTCTACATAGGTGGAATGACAAAATAATTTCTCTTATGGTTTTTAAAAAGAAACTTAGATTTTGATTCCTTCTAATAATTAGTCTTATTTATGGTTCTTTAGAAATCCCTGGATGAAAAGATTGGATGCTTGCTGAAATTTTCTGGTGACTTAGATGATCAAACCTGTAGAGAAGATCTTCACACACTTTTCTCTAATCATGGAGAAATAAAGTGGATAGACTTCATCAGAGGAGCAAAAGAGGTTAGAGATGTGTTTTACTTAAAAAGCTGCATTCAGGAGAACCATGGTTGCTTTTTTCTTAATTAAGAATGAAATGCTCTCTCCCCATTTTTATTTTATTTTTTTTTTGGTGGTAGGGGGAACAACTTACTGCAGTCATGAAGGATTTTCACTTGATTAGACGTTGTCTTTTGTAGACTAAGTGCTATATAATGATTAAGAGTTTTCAGCATAAACTTAGGAATTGTGATTGGGATAGAAAAATTCAACAGAGGTCACTTTTGCATTGTTTTAATGGGGTAGGTTAAGGTTTTCTGGGGACCCTTCTCTTAGAAGTTCACTTCTCTCAAGGTGTGGGTATTGGCAACTTATTTGTGAGTACTCTGTTGATAGCATTTTTGCTGTCCAATACCTTGAGGTTTCTACAGTGGTATTTGGACAGGTATTTCTTCTTTTGTTATTATTGTCTCTCTGAATCTGCCATTGTGATAGCCAAATAAATTTATAGTACTAGAAGCATCAGGTGGGTGTTTTCCATAGTATTCCTTATTAAGATTTTTAGAATGGTAGATTTCAATCTAGGCTAGTTTATCAGTAAAAATGTTAACTGATAAGACCGTTTAAGGAGGCCTTTATGGGGAGAGACTTATCATAGGTCATAGTACTCAAAGCACTAAGATTTAAAAATGTTTTCTCAGTTTTGAATTTATCATGTTCTTTCCAGAGCTATAAAGATAGTAAAATTACTTTGCTGTTTTAATGTATACTTGGAGAGTCAGCTTAGAATGTAATATGTATGGTTATTGTTTGATACAGGGAATAATCCTATTTAAAGAAAAGGCAAAAGAAGCACTGGACAAAGCCAATGAAGCAAATAATGGAAACTTAAAATTAAGAAACAAAGATGTAACATGGGAAGTATTAGAAGGAGAGACAGAGAAAGAAGCTTTGAAAAAAATCATTGAAGACCAACAGGAATCCCTAAATAAGTTGAAGTCAAAAGGTAATAGAAGTTACATTGAATTGTAAAATACTGGAAGATTACTTAGTTTCAGTCTCCCCTTTACAGATGAGAGAATTACAGCCAGGTAACTTAAAGTGACCTGGGAATTTTAAAACTTTGTTGGTAATATACAAAAAGATTGATGTTTTTATGGATTTACTTTATAGTTTACTAAAGCAGTAAATTTATTTCTAATTTGCCTATGCTTACTCTCTCATCTGAAAAAATCTTAGCCAAAATAAGTTTTTAAAAAGCCCCAAGCACCCATCTATATTAAAAATATTGGGACAGACTGACCATTTTAATGACATTTAAAACTAAGATGTACAGGCAGCAAGGTGGGACAGTGGATAGAGCACTGGCCCTGAAGTCAGGAGGCCCTGAATTCGAATCCACCCTCAGACACATAATACTCACAAGCTGTGTGACTTTGTACAAGTACTTAACCCCAACTACCTCACCCCCCCCAAAAAATAATAATAATAAAAAAACAGGATGTGGAATAAATCTATAATGGAGAAATGGTAGGCTTTTCCAATAAGATCCAGGAATAAAATATTGTTACCACTGTTCTGGAAATGCTAACTACTGCATAAGCCAAAATAAGAAAATGAAGGAATAAGTATTAGGTAAAGCTTTTAAAATCTTAAAAACTATATATATCTACAGGTCGCAAATTTAAAGGAAAAGGAAGAGGAGGTGGTAAAGCTGTTCAGGGTACACCCAATAAAGGAAAAATACAATTCCAGGGCAAAAAAACAAAATTTGATAGTGATGAAGAACAGGAAAATGGTGATGCTGGAGGTAAGCTTTATTTGTGAGAGAACTTCATTACAACTTTTGTGATTAAGTTGGCTTAGGATGGCCCTTTTAAAATGCAAAGTACCAAACTGGTGACAGAATATCCTAACTCTTTGAAGTGTGGTGACATTCAGAAAGGAGCATTCACAACTGACCTGAATTGTCAGTGAAAACAAGCTCATACAAAGAAAGCAAGTTCTGTATGTTGCTAACTCTTAACAAATGCAATCCAAACTAAGAAGTTTTACATTTTATTTTTATATTTTTCTGTTCCACCCTTCACCCCTGTTCAGGGTTGCAAACTATATATCTTTGTAAATGCAAACTATATATCTTTGTAAATGAAGAAATTTAGTTTTTTGGAAGATAAAGACTTTATAGTAGAATTATAGGAATGGATAATTGCTCTCCCCTTCATCTTTTGAGTTTTCATAGAAGAGGAAGAGAAAATCAAGACTTTAAATACTTGGATAAAATTAAATCTCTTGGATTATTTAGAAGTTGTCTTATTTTATGTTGTGCCATAAGTTGGAAAATTGGTTTTGAATCTTAAGCTACCGTCTGTGAACAGAAGAAACTCTTTTTTTGAAACTTGACACAGCTTCATTTGGAAAAAATAGCTAAATATCACCAGAAATACATTAAAAAGAGTACCAAGGACATTCTAATTTTGTGGTCTTTAATCTTAATGTTGCAATCTAAACTTGTAATTTTAATGTTTGGTCTGAATGCAATTAATTGTTTTTTATAGGATCCCTTAAAAGGACACGAGAAGAACCTGAAAAAGAAGAACCTGCACCAAAACAGTTGAAAACAGAAAATGGAGCTGGAGACCAGTAGCTTGATACAAAAATTTTTATTCATTTTAAATAAGTTTTAAGCTGTTTCAGATTTGGGGGTCTTTACAAAGAAAACCGAATTAAATCCACTTCAATGTCCACCTATAATAGAAGGAAAGACTATTTTTGTTTAACTTGTTTTTGTTGTCCAGGTATCCTTACTTAATCTGGATGGTTTTTTTATATGTAGAGTTTTGTTCATGATATATGTTGGCATTTCAGACATTGATCTGAACATCAAAAGAAAGGTTCTCTCAGTGAAGCCTGGCTCTGTAATGTTGGAAATACCAACAAATAAAATGTATACCATATAAAAGGCTAAATTGTCTTAATTATTTTTATACTGCTATTTTTATATGGTTTCCTTTGTTTTTAACAGAATAGAAATCAGGCTTTGTTTTCCTTTACCGTTGTTACCCCCCAAGAAAAGTATGGCTTAAGTGAGTATATGAGATGACCCAATATATAGGGTTGTTCAACATCTATGTAACAATTTAATTTTACAGGTTTTTCTTCTACTCTTCTGGCAACTTTTTGGAAAAGGTCATCTACTAACTGAATAGTTAACTACTATAACATGTTTGTCTTAAGTACACTGTTCAAACACCCACCTTTAACTTTCCATTTGTGAATATTTAATCATAATCTCTAAGGTCCCTATTATTTCTAAAAGTGTCATCTTTTCAGTGGTTATATCATAAATTTTAACTTACTGTTTTTTTCTTATGAAATTTGTATGATGCTGGTAGGTCATATCGTAGCTCTGGGAAGACAAAAACAATAATTTAATTCAAAGATAGCATTCAAACTGGTTCTTTAAAAAGTGAGTGCTGGGGGCAGCTAGGTGTCAAAGTGGATAAAGCATTGGCCCTCCAGTCAGGAGGACCCGAGTTCAAATACGGCCTCAGACATATAACACTCACTAGCTGTGTGACTCTGGGCAAGTCACTTAACCCCAACTGCCTCACCAAAAGAAAAAAAAAAAAAAGGTGCTAAGGGTATTAGGATTTTGCAAGTTTAAAAAAATTTGTTTTTCATTTCTCTATGCTATATAAAGCAAAGCAATAAGATGAAAATTCTTGCCTAGAAAAGACAACATATAGGTTGTTCAAAGAGAACTTGGTTGTGAATGCTACAAAATGAATAAATTGGAAGTTTCTCAACACACTTAAATTGAATTTGACGAAGTTTTTCAATTCTAAAAGTATAATTTTAAGGGAATGGACTAGAGTAGGGGTGGAGCACCGGCAGCCTCGAGACAACTGGTGGCCTTTTAGGTCCGTGGGTGAGTTTTACAGAACAAATCCTTTTATTAAGGGAATTTGTTTTGTGAAATTTGGATTCACTCAAAGGGCCGCACTTGAGGACCTAGAGGGCTACATGTAGCCTTGAGGCAGGTTCTCCACCCCTGGACTAGACAGTTTCAAAGGTCTGTCAATTTTAAAACTCCAGCTCTATAGCAGGGGTTTTTAACCTATTCTGTGTCATGGACCTATTTGGCAGTCTGGTGAAGCCTCTGATAGACATTTTTAAATGCATAAAATTATCAAAATAAGTCCAAAGGCCCTAGGTTAAGAACACCTGCTCTATACAAGGCCAATAAGCAAGTGGCCCAATGATATCACACCTCTGTGGCTTTTTTAAAATATAAAATATATTAAGTGAAAAAGCATGAAAGCCACTTTGCATAATTGGGAAACAATTAGAAAAAGGCCAAAGTTTGAATCTCTGCTAGTCACTACATTAATAACTTGAAGAAAGATATGAAATAAATCCAGGGTACTATTCCTGTGACTTTCAAGGAAAAATCAGGAGGCTTTCTAACTTTGCCTTTTGAACTCCATATTAATGTTAGCAGTAAGGTACTAGATTGTTGGAAATGTCCCTCCCTCTAAGAGGCTTAGAAGGATAAGCCCTAGTTTTTAAAGCTGTGGTTTTATGTAAAAGACATAATGACAAGGCCAAAACTTTAATTAAGGCATGTTAAATTATTCTGATTACTATGTAGCTGAGAATTGTTTTTAATTAAATTCCCATTAATTACCTTTTACATTCTCTAGCCTGTGTTCAGTTCCTATGTTCAGTTATTTTACCTCCATTAAGAAAACGGAGGTCTTCCTCTACTTTTCCATTCTTTATCTTTTAAAACTTCTCTCAACATTCTTGCTCCTTCCCTTTCTGAATCTAAGGAAATTGATGTCCTTTTCTCTGCCTTCATTCCTTTCCTTCCCATTTTTTCCAGGCTCCTGCAACAGTAAGCCACTTGATCTAATGGGTTCATATCAAACATCACAATGGAAGGACTTAATTCTGCCTACATAGAACCTTGCATCTATCCTCTTCTATTCTCACCATCTCTCGAGTCCAGACCCCTGGACCAAAAAGTTTCTTTATACCTCCAATATTAATTCTATCCATTCTCCATACAAGTGCAGGGCTGATCTTCTTTTGCATAAATCAAACCAAACCACTTCACTGCTCGAAACCTTTCAATGACTACCTAATTTCTTCTGAATAATAACTCCAAACTCCTTAGACTGGCATACAAGGCTAACAATAAAAACGATGCCAACCTTCCTCTGTCCCCTTCACTCATCCTTTGTATAATCTATGTTACAGTAAATGTTTTCTAATCGATGTTCTGCAAACATTCTGTAATCTCCAACCTCCACATTTCTTTTCAAGCAAGTTGCTGTATCCTCCACCCAGCCCTACTGTATGACCCACACTGACTCAGTCAATAAGCATTTATTAATCACACACTCTTTTGCCAGGTACTGTTCCAAGTGCTAGGATTAAAAAGAGGAGCTTACATTGTAATGGGGGAGACAACAAGCATATAGGGTAAGAAGGAAATAATTTACAGAGATGGAGCACTAGAATTAAGAGTGGTCGGGAAAAGCTTCTTATGGAAGATGAGATTTTAGCTAGGTCTTGAGGGAAGCCAGATGAGAAGGGATAGTACTCCTGGTATGGGGGACAGCCAGAGAAAATGTCCAGAGCTGAGAGATGTCAAAGAGTACAAGGGTAGGATGAGGGGACTTTAAGTCAGAAAAAGACTGGAAAAGTAGAGGGGGGAACTAAGTTAAGAAAGGCTTCAGATCCCACCAGAATATTTTGTGGTTGATCCCAAAGGCAAAAGGAACAACCAGGGGCGTTTCGATTGGGCCTGTGCTTTAGGAAAATTACTTTGGTGGCTGAATGAAAGACAGATTGGAGTGGGGAGAGACTTGTTACAGGACACCCACTAGCAAGCTACTGCAACAGTCCATGTGGTTTGCATGGTATTTTACAAGGGAGAACCCTAGAGTATAATCTTTATTTTACTTCAGCTATTTCAAGGGCATAGTTGATAGTTGAGCTAACTGAGGGGCAGAAACAAAATACAGGGATAAGGAAATATAACACTGTTTACTGGATTGTTTAAGCAAGAAAGTAATAATAATCAACATAAGGTTTTCCTCTATTAGAAATTAAACAACAAAACTTTAATATTGAGTATCTATTCAATGCCAGATACTATGGGTTAGCCAGTGTGGATACAAGGAAACATGGCCCCTGAATTTTTAGAATTCGAGGACTGTGAAGGAATATGATGGACACAAATAATTATAAAACAAGGCATAATCTGAAAAGGCAGTGGAGAGATAAATTTGCTTTTTACAGAGCTTAAACTGTTTCTTTACATTAGGGAGCACAAGGAAGAAAAGCCATTCTTTTATCTCCCAAAATTTTTTCTTTTCCCCAAGCTTATGTGAAAGACAAGCCCTGTACATAGTTGGACTTAGGGAATCAGAATGCCATATAAGAATTCTTTCAAGCGAAAACCTCACCCAACATTTGAGCCATGCCCAATTTATTACATTGCAAAATACATGATGTATACCCTCTTTTCCCAATTCTTACATATTATCAATACTACCACTACCTCCACCCCAAATAGCATCAGGCTTCCAGATTCAGGATTATTTTAAAGAAAATTCAGAATTCTTACCTGCTATAACATCCATCTTAATTTTCCATTCATCTGCTTTCTTTTGAATATGCTAAACATAAAAAAAGTTACCTTGAGTTGGTTTATTCCATCTGAAACAAAATTTAGTTTATCATGCTTATATTAAATATATTGGAGCTTTCTACTGATACTATACTCTTATCAAGACTCATCTTTTTAAAGACTGGATTGACTGCATGACAGTTTTAAAAATATAAGAATAAAGAACTTCAATATGGCTAACAATCTGTTAAAATGCATATGGGGCTTTCCTAAATAGCTTGACTGCTACATCAGTTAACAGCAGTGAGGGAGAAATCAGTAGCATTATTTCAATTTATGAACTTAAAAAAAACTCAGGACATTCAGCAAAGATTGGGACTAATAGTTGTCACTGAAGACTTCCTGTTGGAGCTGATCTAACAGAAGGATAAGCAATCCTGTCAAATTTTACTAGTTATTCAAAAGTCTGTGTTTGGAATATTGGCTTACTGATTCATTTACTGTGTAAAGAAATACCACAGGTTTACTTAAGACTCAATTTCTGTCTTCAAAGTAACTAGCAACAGAGGTGTACTGTGTTTATGTCTGGTCAAAAAGTGACTATTTGTGCTTGAACAAGTCACCTAAACTTCTCAGAGCCCAAGGCAACTCTCTCAATCTATATAAGTTGTCTATATGCACCAGGGAGGTGAATACTTAATTCATGTAATTTATTAGCAAAAATTAAATTCCCCTAAATTATTCCTCATCAGAAATACATTGATAAAATCAGATCTAGATTAAAAACAAAGTAGGTAATCGATTAATTTTTTCTCTAATATTCAAATATATGTGAATTATATATAACTAAAGTAGTTCCATATATTTTACATTAGCTAGAAAACATTTAGTATGAGAGTATGGTTTAATTTTAGGAAGCATGAGAAGTTTGTGGGAATCAAAACTTTACTTTTAACCATTTAATACTTACATCCATAAGAATGGTAAAGGAAGGGTTAAGTGGCTGGTCATTCTAATAAGAAATGGAATATATCAGTAAGATGATAGTAGGGATAAGATATAGAAGGAATAAGCATAAGTTGTCAACTCTACTGAGAAAATTAAGTGAAAAGGTTATATTAGGACAAAAGTAGGTAATCAATGACACTAAGCAATATAAGGGCCATTAGTTCCTGTACATGAATTTTTTTTTCCTTTTCAGATTCTATTTTTCCTTTTACTATTTTTGTTCCTTTTTTCTCTTCCTAGTCTTTACAGCTCAAGTAGCAACCAAGGTCATTGTTTAAATCCACTGATAGTAATTACACCTAAAGAGCTTCTGTTTCCTAATAACAAAGGTTAGAAGTTAATTATAGAATTGAGTATACCAGATGGCATTGTAAGAACCCAGGAATATCAAAGGAGACAAGAAAAGAACAAGGAGAGTATTAGAAAAACCAAAGGACTTCTACTAAGGGATATACTGCTGAAAAAAAAAATACACGGCCTTAGAACTCATTGGCTTACATGTAATGTTTGAATAAACTAATCAGTGTTCAACAACTCTTAATTTATAATCACCTACTCAACAAGTATTTCCTGGACACCTTCTACTCTTTCAGACTATCACAGTCTTAAACCTGGAAGGGCTCTTCTAACACCCAGCACTTACAAAGTATTCGATGTTGATTTGACTAGCATTATCCAGAGAGAGAAAGTGAGACAAGTGCTGGATTTGGAGTCAGCGGACCTATATTCACATTCTGGCTCTGCCACTTACCATGTAACCACAATCAATCAAATTACCTCTTCAGGTCTCAATTCCTGTTTGGTAAAATGTGGGGGACAGGCTAGATGACCGTCAAGGTCTTTTCCAGCTCTAAATCTATGATCCCACATCAGCTCAGTGTTTACAAATGAAGAAACAAAGGACCAGAGAAATTAAGGGAGCTGCTAAAGCTCATATAAACAGTGAGAGAGCCAAGATTAGAACCAGGTTCCTGGTGCAATGTGCTTTCTACTACTCCATGCTGTTATCTCCTAATTAGGGTCTGATTAAAGTTGCTTCATTATCTGTTTCCTTTTCTTCCAATAGTTCCTATCCATCCAAGTCTTAGAGAAAACAAATTAGCCTCTGTGGTCCAGTGGAAATCCCTATGTCAGAGGTGCTAGCTATTAGTTAAGGGGAATACTACAGAAACTGAGTGACCTGTACAAAAAACAAAAGTACGATAGACATCTCTGTTATTCAGGATTCCCAACACTGTCACTAGTTTAGAAACTGTAACAAAGGAAAAGCTAATGGTTTGGACTTACTTCTCGGGTTGAAGTTTTATGTAAGGAATATACTGCTACTCTTGCCATTTGTAAAGCAATCTTCAGAAATGACATATCCATACCTATGAAGGGAGTAAAAAATATTTATATTTAATCTTCTGCTAAAATGGTAGATTAAAATTATTCACTGAAGTACTAGAAATACGTTTTGTAAACAAAATATGCTTTTTTTGGCTCATAGAGGAAAAGGTCTTTATGGTTAGGTAAACTGATAGTATATTTAAAGGATAAATAATATAAAGATGCAGTGACAACAGTAACAGTAAATATATCATTTACTATGTGCCAGGTACTTTACATTGTTATTGTCATTTGATCTTCACAACAACTCTGAGAAGTAGGTGATATTATTATCTTCATTTTACAGATGAGGAAACTGAGGCAAACTGAGGTTAAGTGACTTGCCCAGGGTAACACAACTAGTCTATGGCCAGATCTGAAGTCAGGTTTTCCTGACTCCAGGCCCAGTGTTCTATCCATTGTGCCATCAACCTGCCATGACAAACTAAGTACCTCCTTTCCCTCCTCTCCATTTTTCTTTATCCCTTATTTAAGCTCTGTAAATAACATCCAGAGAAAATCATGAACAATGCTAATTCCTACTAGTTGTGATCAGGGGAAATAGACTGGTGTGCTCACTTCTAAACTAGCAGATGAGGGTATTAGTCCCCAGTCAGAGACTTTTTTTAAAAAAAGCTATCTGCTGTTAAAATAACTGAGGATAACTAAACCATTATAAGCGACTGATATCATAAAAGGCTGATCTCTTTAGTGAAAACCTGGATAACAACATAGGATTCAACTCACCTTAGTTATGTAAGAGTGATAATGTAAAGAGGTAATAAGAATTTTCTTATATGAAAAGCTTTGTCAGGATTCAAAACTTACTTTATCTAAGTTAAATAAGCCCAAAGTAAGTTATAAAAAGTATCTTAAATATTCAAAGCCTTTAATAATGTAGATGTAAAAATATCTAATTAGGAACAAGTGAATGGTCTGCTTAAGGATATAATGGGTCCCTGCCCATTAGAAATCTTCAGACTAGATGACTACTTGTCAGGTATGATGAAGAGAGGATTATTCTTCAAAGGTACAGTTTAGATCAGACTACAGGACAGGAAACTACTGCCAAGGGTCATATCTGACCCTAGCTATGGTTTTTACAATTTTAAATACAAAACTTTATTTAAAATGTTTTTTAGCTGTAGGTGGTACAAAAAAAAGAGTCTGCAGGTGAATTTGGCCTGCTGGCCACTGAGGTCTCTTAAAATCATAAAGTCTTAGGCTGTTCAGTTTTATTCCCTTAAGAGAATTTTTTATATAATATAATCTGGTGAAAACTAAGAGTAGAAAATGAACAACTCAATTCCCTACCAATATATAAACAAACTAGAACAGTAATGCCTACATAAAAGACTAACTTGTCTAATGATAGTAACTAATCACTTTCCGTAAATATTCACTGATTTCTTTTTTAAACCTTACTTCTCTATAAATATTGCACCAGAACATCTGTTTCTTTTAACTAACCTTTATTATGCTTGGTCCCAAAGGGAGGATTCATGATTATAGTGTCAAAGGACTTGGACATTGTATCAGATAAAGAACACACATTGCACTGAATCATGTCAATATTTGTCAGCTCAAACTCTGCAACATTTCTACTAAATATTTCTAATGCTTCTTCATCTATATCAAATCCAACACACAACCTGTAAATGCAAAACAAAAAAGGGCTATTTAAATATGTTTCAAAAATAAGGATTTATTACATCTTTTAAAAAATGTCAATATATTTGCTCAGTGATATATTTCAACAAGAAGGGTATACTCAACCAGAAAGAACAGGGGAAGCTTATAAGTTGGTGTAAAAGGAAGGCTGATTACCAGTGTGATCTGGTAATCAGGTTTATTCTTTGCTATTCTTATAAAATGTACTACAACATCTTGTTTCCCACATATTTTAATGTAGACTGGCATACTTCCATAAACACTATTCAGTTGGTCCCAGAAATTGTGTACTGAATTACTTACCCTGCTCCTAACATTGCTGTTCCAATACTAAGCATTCCACAGCCACATCCTAGATCTCCAACCACTTTGTTTTCAATATCATCATACGTGTTGTGAATTGTATATAGCATACATGCTTTAAAAAAAAAGGGGGGGGAACAAATTAGAGACAAGGGACAGGCAAGGCTCTTGATGGAAATCTAATCACCAAAAATTATTCTTCTTGAAACATTTTCATTTGTCTTACATGAATCCTTCTAAGTGATGTACATTATGAAAAGGGCTCACAAAATGTAGGAACTTGCTATGTCACAAAAACCACCAAAATTAAATGACAGAACAAGTGTCTACATGAAAAGGCCACAGAGATGATGCATCCCCAAATAATATATCCCAAATTGTCCTCTAAAAAGGGATACTCATTCTAAGTAAACCTTTTGAAAGGAACACCTTAAAATAATCAAATTTTCTTAGTGCCAGAACCAAGACTAGCCAAGACCTACATTGATACAGGCTCATATTAGTCAACTGACCTCAGGGATGGTATTCAGAGTAACAGCACTGTTTCTACGGCTGTTCAAGTCACTGTCAAATCACTGTTAATCATCAATGCTACCTTACAAAGGAAGCTCAATAAATGTTCATAGAAGTTCTAGTCAAGTCTTAACAGTTGTTTTTGGTGCAATGTTTGGTATATAACATTTTCAAACAGGTTCAAAGAAAACACACATAAAAACTCTTGCTGGATTTTGCTACCTGAAAAAAAAATTTCTATGACAGCTATAAAAAGCTTCTTGAATATTTCCTAGAAAAAAAATTTTAGGATTAAGCTTTTGTCCTAAGTTATTAACTAAAAAAAAAAAGAGTAGTTCCTCACATCTAGTCAATCAAGAAGTCCACAAACATTTATTTTAGTGCCTAGGGCACAGTGCTAAAATCTGGGTATACAAAGAAAGCTAAAAGTCATTTCCTGCGCTCAAGGAGTTTATAGTCTAATTCGAGAGGCAACAAGCAAACAGCTACGTACAAACTTCAGATATTTACAGGATAATTGGGAGATTATCAACTGAGAGAAAGCATTATATATTAATGGGGTGGGGGTGGGAAAGGCTTCTAGTTAGAAGATGGAATTTAAGCTGAGTTTTGTAAAATGTCAGGGAAGTCAGGGAGATGAAAAGGGAGAGTTCCAGTAATGGGAGGTGGGAGAGCAGAACATTAAGTCTCGAGAAACTAGCTTAACTCTGCAACATATTGGGCAAGGTATTTATCTTTTTTTAAGCTTGAATTTCCACATCTATAAAAGGCGGATGACATTCTTGTATGGTGGAGGTAATTACCTACTATCAATGATTCTAATTCACTTCGCCTCTTTGGGCCTCAGTTTCCTCATCAGTTCAATGGGTGGCTTTGCGTTCGCGATTCTCAGCGGTCCTCCTACCGCTAATGCATCCCTATGCCAAAGGTGCTGTATTTTCTGACCTGCACTAGGAACCAGCCGGGACAACCTTACCTGCAATGTGGGGCCTGGTCGGATACTGTTCCAGAAGTAATTTGGGCTTCTCAAAGCCATCAACTTGTTGCAACAAACTTTCCAGTTCCTTCCGTTTCATGTTTTCTTCTCGTTACGTGGGTTATAATTTGGGGAGCGGGGAGAGAAGGGCGGGGTGTATCTATTTACACCGGAGAAAATATTTTATAATTATGTGCCCGAAGACCCCCGCTCCCAGCTCAAAACCCTGAGTCTCCACGGCGGCGGCGGCATCTGTGCGCCTGCGCCCGCGCATGCGCCTCTGACGCCTCCTTCGGGCGCAGCAGCACCTCCACCTTCCTTAGGCCGCACGCTCAGTGCAGCGAGACCCCCTCCCCCAACTCCAAAAACTAGACTCTGTAGTTCAGGCCACCCTGCATCCGGTGCCTCCGGCTCAGCGGTCCCCACGCACAACGGAAACTACGAGCGGAGCACCGGAGTTCCGGTGTCGAGGAGGCGGCAATGCAAGGCCAGCAAGCAGTCATGCCTGCAGCCTCTTCTCAGAAAAAAATCCCATTGATTTACACTCCTGGAATTTACAGCTGGAATGAACCTTAGACAAAGAGCATCTGATCCAACCCCACCCTCCCCCATAAAAATGCTTGTGGATTGGAAAAAAAAATTTTAATTAAGAAAAAAGTGTATTAGTCATTATGCTAGTTGCAACTACAAAGGGTGAAATAATCCTTACAGAGAGCTTACATTCGATTGGGGGAGATAAGAGGAACATATATAAATATCTGAAGCAGTAACTATAAACTAAATAAATACAAACATATACAAAGTATTTAAATACAAGGTAGTTGGGGAGGGAGGGCGCTATCTAGGAGTTGGGGGCTCAGAAAAGATTTTATGCAGAAAAAGATGGTGCTGGAGTTGTTTCACAAAGGAAGAGTGAGTCTTTTTGAGATAGAGATTAGGAGGGAGTGCATTCCAAGTATGGGAGAAGGTCAGAGTAAAGGCCTCGAAAAGGGAGATGGAATGTTATAATGTGAGAAAGAGAAGGCCAGCTAACCTGCATTGCAGATGGTAAGAGGCAAAGTAAACTCCAATGAGGTTGGAAAGACAGGCTGGGGTCTGGTTGTGTAGGGCTTTGAAAGATAAACAGTATTCCAGAGGCAATAGGAAGCTATTGGAGTCGATTTGAGTAGGGGTTAGATCTGCACTTGAGGGAAAAACACTTTGGCAGCAATGTGTAAAAGACAGACTTGAGGCAGGAAAATCAATTGGGGAAGCTGTTCAATAATCTTGGTGGGAAGTAATGAGAGCCTGAACTAAGGTGTGCAAGTGGAGAGAAGAGGTCAGATGCAAGGGATGTTATGAAGATAGAAAAGACAAGATTTTGGGGGATGGTTTGTAGAGAAGGATAATGAGTTCTGTTTAGGACATTGTGTTGAGATTTCTCTGGGACATCCAATTGGAAATGCCCAGATGGAAGTTGGTGATGCTGAAGCCTGGAAAGACTGGTTCTTAATATCTAAATATGAGAGTCATCCTCATGTAGATGCTCATTAAACCCATGGGAGCTCATAAGTCTACCAAAGGTGAATGAAGAAGGAGAAGAAAAGAGGACCTAGATCAGATCCTTGGAAAACTCCTAAAGTTAGGTAGTATGATATAGAAAATGAACCGGCAATGAAGACTGAGAAGAATCAGACTGATAGATAGGGGGAGAATTAGGAAAGAGTAATTTAATAAAAACCCAGAGAGAAGAGGACGATGGTCACAGCAGGATAAAATGCAATAGATAGGCTGAAAAGAATGAGGAGTGAGGAAAAAAAATGAGATGTGGCAAGAGGTAATTGGTAATTTTGGAGAGAACAGTTTAAGCTGAGCGATGAAATTGGCAGCCAAATGCAATGGATTGAGAAATAAGTGAAAGGAAAAGAAGTAGAGGTGGCCTGTGTTGATAGCTTTTTCCAAGAGTTTGTCTGAGAAACGGAGAAGAGATATATAGGAAAGAAGCTTGAGGGGATGATAGGGTTTAGTAAAGGTTCTTTAAAGATTGAGGTGACAATATTTGCAGGCAGTAGGGAGGAACCAGTACATAAAGAGAGGCTAGAGTCAGAGAAAGGGTGGGGGAGGATGATTGAGGATATATAATCTGCTAGAGAAGTCAAAAGACCTTCCCTTTGCAGAGCTTCCTTAAAAGTATAGTGGAAAGAGTATTGATTCTGAATTCAGAGGATCTGGGAACAAATTTTACCTCTGGTACTTACTTCCTGTGTGAACTTGGTCAAATCACTTACCTTCTCTGGGCTCAGTTTCCCCACTGATAAAATGGGGATAAAATTGGGCTAGATAGCCTCTGATGTCATTTCCAAGTCTAGATCTATGATTATATGGTCCGGAAAATACACTTTCTTTGTAATTAGGACTATCCCCATTGTACCCGGTGTCTTCCCTCCAGCAACTTATATTCTAATGGGAATTATAACCTGGTAAAAAAGATAAATAAGATAGAAAACAGTGATATAAGCTATATCATGAGGCCAAATGTAATTAATTGTCCACTGAATGATACACATGCCATGAATTTAGGATTTAGAGGTTCAGACACCAACACTTTTACTCATTGTCTTGATCTCAAGCCCTCCATTCTCCTCCAGCAGACTTTCCCAGACTGACGATCATCCTTTCTCCCTAATTTTCAATCTCTTCTCATCCGCTGGCTCTTTCCTTACTGTTACTAACATGCTCAGACTTCCACCATCCTTAAAAAGATCTTCACCATTCTCTCAAGCTACTGTCTACCGTCTTATAGTTCTACTTCCTTTTACCGTCAAATTACTAGGAAAAAGCTGTTTGCATTAATTTCCTTAACTCTCATTCACTTCTTATAGTTAGTTTGGTCATGTGGCACTGAAATTAAGGAGAGAGACTGGGTTCGGATATACAACATATGAAATCACTGAAAGTATAGAGAGAAAAAGAAGAGAGAAGAGGACAGAACCATGGAATACACCCACAGAGAAGAGGTGGAACAACAATGATGATCCTGCAAAGGAGGGTAAGAGGGAGCAGCAAGCTGCCAAATAGGTGGAAAATAAAAATAAACAAAAAGGTCGGTGTTATGAAAACCCAGGGATTCCCTGGGACTCAAGGAAGTCAATGATAAAAAGAAAGGTATCAAAATATTGATAGCAGAATGTTTTGTGGTAGTGAAGAACTGGAAACTAAGTTAATGTCCATTGGCTGGGGAATGGCTAAACAAATTGTGGTACATGAATGTGATGATATGTCACTGTGCTATGAGAATGACAAATATGATGAATATAGAGTAGCATGAAAAGACTTACATGAACTGATGCAAAATGAAGTAAGCAGAACCAAGAAAACAATATACGCAAGTACTGTAACAATGCAAATGGAAAGAAAAATAACCCCCAAACAATAAAAAAAAAAGTTCCAAAATTGCAAAGAACTATCTTGGTCCCAAAGAAGAGATATGAGAAAATATTTCCCTTTATACCTTTCTGGGGTGAGAGGAAAAGGGAAATAAAATGTCCAGAGGCGTGGAACATTGCATATATTGTCAGATTTGTTAAATGTATTGTTTGTTTTTGCTGATTTCTTTTTTATTCTACTTTTTTCTTTAAAAAAATTCTTAGTGAAGAGAAATGGCTCTCTGGGAGAGAGATTCGAAGGGATACAGGGAGAAATTTAAGTGATACAAAACAAAAGATAGAAATGGAAGGCTTTTTTTTTAATTAAAAAAGAAAAAAAAAGACTAACTTCTAACGACATCAGAAAAAAAATAGAAGACAATAACTTGAAATGACATCAGAAAACCAGTAGAGGGCTAGCAAGCACCCACAAAGTTCAAAGACAATCCTATAGCGAAGAGAATGTAGGCCAAAGTATTAATTCACTGTCATGCTTTCTCACAGAAGAGATTTGTAAAACATGAGTTGAGAAAATTACTAAAAATGTCCCAACTCTATAACTAAGCCAGTGAGAGGACCACATTAACTATAGTGTAGAAGTCTCAAAAAAATCACATTTTAATGTGTTTGGATGCTAAATATATTTCTGCCCCAATTTATTAAAGTGAACATTTATAAAGTGAACAGTACCTATAAAAGAAAAAAGAAATCTCTCCCCATTTGCAAAGTATTTTATGGTGTAATTAAAATTAAATTTCTCTCATTCACTCTTCTTTCTCCTGTTTTTCATTTTTCATTTTACTCAGTGAATATTTTACTATGGTTAAAAATTAAACCTATTATGTCAGCTGGTATTATTTAAATTGTTTAAAGATTTTTCTTTAATCTCGGTTTGATAAAATGATTAATGTGTGTTGATTTTTCTCTTCCTAATGGCAGTGACCATGTATGTATCTTAGAATTTTTGGTATATCCCATAGCTTATCAGCACAATGCTTGGCACATAATAAGTGCACAATAAATACTTATTTGACTATTTGAAGGGCTAATAGTGAAATGCTTATAATACTTTTATGCTGCAGTACGACTATAGATGCGCACAGTATGTCCAGCCCCAATATGGTTAGCCTCTTGACTTGGAGGGCAATCAGGCTGGCTAAAGAGGGGTGGATTGGCCCAGGCTGGAAAAACAGAGCCAGGTCAAAGCTTCCATGCACATCAATAATGGCATTGGTCCTGTTGAATGGCCACTGAACTTGATGGGGAGAGTGAGTATCAAAAAAAAAAATTACTAAGTCCCTGCTTTCAATGAGCTCATATTTAAATGTAAGAGACAACACAAATTGGGGGTTTCAGCTGAAAGTCATATGGAAGGGCCTAGTAGTCTGGAGGACTGCCACAAAGCAGATGGTAATGCATCATTTTTTTTAGTATCATTTCCATTTAGTGATTTAACTTTTGCATATTTACTTTAACACCTTAGCAGTCTGTAATTTTACTCAGTTTAAAAGTCATCAGATGTCTTATTTTTTTCCTTGGAGAGATTGCCATGGTCTCATTCCCACATTTCCTGGTTAATGAGGAAAGGGTACATTTGGAAAGTTTCTAATGGACTAATTTCATCCTCTAATAAAATCATGCTTTTTTTTTTGCATATTTGAGCACTAGTAGAGAGATACAAAATAATTAGAGAAAAAAAATCTCTTGAAAAGAATGTGTTAAACTACCGTTAACAGTTTTTTTCCCCGCAACTGCTTTTAAGAATCCTGTAGCTTCTACATTCTGAAAGGGACGGTGGCTCTGAAACTCCAAGGCAGTGGTCCTGGGAGTTACAGATATCAGAGCAGAGTC